GAGGAGGAGGAGGAGGAGGAGGAGGAGGAGGAGGAGAAGGACCCCGAGGCAGCCGCCACCCCCTCAGCACACCAGCAGTGAGAGCTGGGCGCCGAAGCGCAGGGGCCGAGCATATGATACCACCGGGGGGGGGACGAGCAGCGCCTCCGCCACGAGCCTCGCGCGGAGAGCTCGTCGGGCACCGCGGGCTCCGCATCCGGTCGAGCTGCTCCCGCGGGCAGTCCCTGTGGGGCGCGCTCTGGCAGCTCCCGCAAGCGGCCATCGCGGCACCGTGAGCGATGCAGTCGTGGCACAGCTCGCATGGGAAGCATCCTGCGGCGGCGGCGGCGCCTCCCGAGGCTGGAGCCGCGAGGACAGGCCGGCTGGGCACATGCCGCCCCGCGGCGGCTCCCTGCGCCTCGATCACGAGGTTCGCCATGCGCCCCTGCTGCCCGTCGAGCCTATCCATGTCGACCGTGTCCTCGTGCAATGGCTCCTGCTCCTCCTGCGCCTCCTGCATGAATGACGTCCCACACGTTGTCGTGCTGCCACTTCACCTTCTCGTCGAATACGCCCCCGTGCTCAACCGACTGGTCGACCAGCAGGCTCGCGACGGGCACCACCACGGAATCCGATTCGGACTGCACGCGTATCGCTTCGGAGTGATTAGCCAACATGCATGCGCGCATATATGCCTGTCTGTATGCATACCTGAATGTTTGTGTGCATACATGCATGCATGCATGCATGTGCTCCTATGCATGCTTATGTATACACATGTAGACATGCATGCGTGCACGTCTATATGTATGTTAATGCACGTACGTACCTACGTATGTATGTCTATGTATGTATGCATGCATGCATGCATGTATGTGTGCATACATGTATGTAAATAGGTATGCATGTAGATAGGCATGCATTTATGTATGTGTATACATGTAAATATTTATAGTTGTATATATATATATATACATTTGTATCCACGTATTAATGCAGTATGTATGTGTGAATGTCTTTATGCACGTATGTATGTCTGTATGCATCCACGCATACATGTACGAATGTTTGTCTGTATGTATGACTGTATGTATGCATGTATGCATGCATTCCTGCATGTACGTAGGTATGTATGTATATGCGTATATATGTGCGCATATGCACCATTTATATTTATATATCTACATAGGCAGGTAGGTAGGAAGGTAGGTAGGCTGGCATATATGTAGATAGGCAGGCCGGCCGGCTGGCCGGCCCTCCGGCCGGCCGGCCGGCAGGCAGGCAGGCAGGCAGGCAGGCAGGCATGCATGTATGTATGTATGTATGTACGTCTGTGGGTATTTGCATGTGTTGTTGTGGTTGGTGGTGGTGGTGGGTTTCTTGCTGTTGTTGATCATGAGCATGAGGATACTCATGATGATAAATTCTGTTGCGGGTGAAGATATGGTTGATGATGGTTATGACGATGTTGTGGATGCTGATGCTGATGAGGATTCATAATCTTCGACTTCTTCTTGCTCTTGTTTGAGGCTCTCTTGAGTCGTCTGGGGACTCTCTTAGGGGCATCTTGGGCTGTCTTGGAGCAATCTTGGGGGCCTCCTGGGCGGTCTTGGACGCTGTGAAAGCCCGAGAAGCGAATCTTCAGACAATGCAAGTTTTCAAAGGATTGGCGCTATTTTTTGTTTCTGTGCGCCCTCTTAGGGGTGCTCTTGGGGCCCCTTGGGCAGTCTTGGGGCCACATTGGGTCATAGCTTCCATCACATGCTATGCTAGAAACTACCGTGTGGTGTATTTTTATGTTTATCTCAATATCGTCAGGGATACATCGTGGAAGCTCCAGTGCGCGCCGAGGGAGAAGCCCTTAACGACTTCTCCTCTGTCTCGCTGTCCTCCCTCCCTCCTGCCCGAATGCGGGCCGACAGGGCCAGCTGTACGGCGACTTCGACGAGAATACGCACGAGTGGACCGACGGAATCCTGGCGCTGGTCGTGCGCCACGCGGCCAGCGCCGACCGCAGCCAGCGGCAGTGGATCCTCCTCGACGGCGCGCCCGTAGAGGAAGGACGATGATGCGGACGACGACGACGAGGATGATAATGAGCATGGGGTTGAGGACGAGGATGATGCTGAGGAGGCTGAGGATGATGATGCTGCTGCTGCTGCTGATGACGATGATGATGAAGGCGACGACGACGAGGTCGACGGCGACGACGACGACGACGACGACGACGGCGGCACCGAAGACGACAGCGGCGGCGGCGGCGACGGCGCCGGCGGTGGTGGTGGTGATGAGGAGGCGGCGGAGGATGAGGATGAGGATGAGGAGGAGGAGGAGGAGGAGGAGGAGGAAAATGAGGAGGATGAGGAGGATGAGGATGAGGTGCGCTCTCCTCTCAGGCCCCGTGGACGCAGTGTGGATCGAGAACATGAACACCGTCCTCGACGACAATAAGAAGCGTGGCCCTCGGAAGCGCCCGGTCGGCCTCTACCCTTTTCTTCTGGAGGCAGGGGGATGGATCCCTGCCTCCCGCGTTGTGTTTTGTTCCCAACCATCCTGTGGTGTTGTGCCCCCGTTTTGAAGAGACAGCGCCCCGCCTTCCCCCTCCCGCTGCCCCTCTCTCCCCATCCTTCCATCCTTGCCTCTGCCCTCCCCTCCAGTCAACCATTTCGGCACACTCCTCACACGGCTCGGGGCCCCATAGGGAGCTCCACCGAGGGCCTCAGTGGCTGCGCTCGCATGGCGCCACGGCACCCATTTCGGCACGCCCCTCGCACGTTTCGTGGGCCCCAGTGGCTGCGCTCGCATGGCGCTACCGCGCCCAGTTCGGCACACCCCTCACACGTTTCGTGGTCCCACAAGGGAGCTCCACCGAAGGCCCCAGTGGATGCGCTCGCATGGCACCACCGCGCCCATTTTGGCACAACCTTCACACGTGCCCCACCGAGGGCCCCGTGGCTGCGCTCGCATGGCTCCACCGCGCCCATTTCGGCACACCCCTCACACGTTTCGTGGCCCCATCGGGAGCTCCACTGAAAGCCCCAGTGGCTGCGCTCGCATGGCACCACTGCGCCCATTTCGGCACACTCTTCGCACGTTTCGTGGCCTCCTAGGGAGTTCCACCGAGGGCCACAGTGGCTGCGCTCGCATGGCACCACCGCGCCCATGTCGGCACACCACTCACACGTTTCGTGGCCCCATGGGGAGTTCCACCGAAGACCCCAGTGGCTGCGCTCGCATGACGCTACCGCGCCCATTTCGGCACACCACTCACACGTGTTTGCATTCTGGTGCATCCCTGATACGTTTCGTGTCCCCATAGCGAGCTCCACCGAAGACGGTATTCACAACTGCGTTACGCACAACTGGAGATGGTTGTGTCTTTCGCCAAGCTAATTCACGTCGGACCCCTTGGAAATTTACACCACCTCCCCAGAACAAGTAATAGTGAAGGGAACCGGGAAGGGGGAACCATGCAGGAACCGGGAACTGGGAACCTGGAATTAAGGGAACCGGAAACCGAGAGCCGGGAAGCGGGAAGCGGGAACCAGGAGCCGGGAGCCGGGAACCGGGAACCGGGAACCAGGAATTTAGAACCAGGAATCGGGAACCGCAAGCTGGGAATTGGGAACCGGGAATCGGAAGCCAGTGATGAGTGGGATTCGGG